CCAATTCATCTGGGGCCCAGCTTTAAAAGAGAAGCTAGACAGTTCAGGCCTCAACTAGCAGTGTTCGCTTAGTCATCTGAGGGATCAGTCTTGGTGGACCCAAACTGCCTAGTCCCTCTACTTCAGCCAAGTGGGCCCCCAGTTAACACAGCAGGTGTTGCTGGATGCCTACTCATCTCAGAGGGGCTGAGCAATTCAGTTCCTACAGGATCTGGCCCTCTGCTTATCTCATTTCCTTATTTGACATGAACCCCAGTTTCCAGTAGCTAATTGTTGGGGGAAAGGATGCACATCATATTTGAGTAAACATGGTAAATATCAAAACTGAGCTCCAGATTAAATTTGTGACTTTCTATGCATAGGGTTGGAGTGCCTCAAGTTATGACAAGCTACCAGCCCTGCCATATAAAGCTGTTAGTTTGAAACATGCTCTTGCAAGATGTGCTTTGGAGCAGCAGTGAATTCTTTGCATCAGTTTGCTGTTGCATATCTAAGCAGCTACAGCCTTTCCAGCTTGGAGAAGTGTAAATCTATCTGGGTCTTTCCTGGGCAGTAGCCTCTAGAGGTGCATCTATATATTGGTCGCGTATCAGATCGGAACCAATAACAGGAAAATTCACATTATTGGCCATCGGCTTTTTTTTTTTTTTTTTTTTTTTTTTTTAAGCCAGTAATGTCATCAATATATGCTGTGCACATGCATGCAGCCACAGCATACACATGACCAGGAGTGCAGCCTGGCAGGTTGGAGACCAGTGTCCAGCTGGTAAGTCTGTGGGGGTGAAGGGGTGTGGGAGGTGCAGATCGAGGCCCCCACGGTAAAGAAGGGAGTGGGGCAGGGGCAGACACTACCCAGCCAGGACAATGAATGTGACTCCAGGAGCGCGGACCCATGGGCAGCTCATATGGGGGACATGATGGGGTGGGGAGGGGGTGTGGCTCCCTGTGCACACCCCTGGGGGAGACATGAGGAATATGTGCGCAAGGCGAGTGTGGGCTGCCTGCTGTGGCCTTGGGCCCAGGGTCTGCGCTGGCCTCTTCCTGGCAGGGGAGCTGGGCTGGGGCTGTGCTTTGGGCCAGCAGGGACAAGTGGGTGGTGGCAGCGCTGGGAGGAGTGGCTACAGGGAATTTTGGGGTGACTGTAGCCCCCCTCCCAGTACTGCTGCCGTCTGCCCCATGCCAGCGCAGCCCCTGGCCCTGAGTCCGCAGCAGTTAGGATGCCCTTGCCCCACGCACAAATCTGGGCAGGGGGGGACACATGCCCCACACGTCTCCCCTGGGGTGGTATGCAGCGGTGGGTAGTTGCCCACCTTTCCATGCCCCCCAGATGAGCCCCTTGCGGGTCCATCCCAATCCTGAGATATCATTCACTGCCCTGGCTGAGCAGTACCTGCCCCACTTTCTCCCTCACTGCGGGGGGCCTTGATCTGTCCCCCTGCAACATCCCTTCCCTCTCCAACACCCCTCTAATAATTGCCCATCAGTATCAGACAATAAAAAATGTATTGGTGCACCCCCAGCAGCCTCACTTGGTAGTTTTGGCAAGGTCTGTGGTGCTTAGCCTGCTGTACTGACTTGGACAATGGGTGGGATTGAGTATTGAATCAAAATGCACACTCCAGGATGAAGAGATCCTGAAGGTGCGTTGTCATTACATTGTTATTGACAAGGGCAGCGTAAAAGAGCCTGTATGGTTTCAGGTACTAGGGGTTGCACTCAGGATGCTGTAGCTTAGGAATACCCAAAGTAGGATAAGGTACGGTGCTGTTGAAGTCCTGTGATGTGCTAGGAGCCCAAGGGCCAGAATACTTAATTATTTTCTTTGAATTTCCTTGTGTCACATTAACATAGCCCAAGTCCTAGCTGAGTTCTGAAACTGCAGTTTTTGGCAAGTCTGTACCATGAGTGTCAATGTAGCACAGGTGCTGTTTTAGAGGAAGTAGCAAAACCCAGTCACTATGCTCGTTTTGCAGCTGACAACCCACAATCTCTTTGTATTCACTTCTTATGGTTATAAATAACTGAGGCAGAGACTAACTGCTGCCACCATGTGTTAGATCACAGAAAAGCTGTCAGTACTAGGCAAGAAAGCACAGGAAACGGTGTGTGAAGCTTCTCAGCTGGGGTTAAAGTAAGCAACCTGCAGAGGGGACAGTTTCAGGATGGCTTGAAAAAATGGACAGGTATGGATTGCTCACCCAGAAGTGTTCCATAAATCTAAGCAGTAGCTCTGCATCTATGTAATAGAGAGCTTAGTTCTCAAGTGGCGCATTCTGAAAGCTGACTTAGGAGAGTCTGTGGCTGCTATACAGCTGAAATGTGTACTGCCAAGATAGCTGGGATCACTGTCTAGCATTGCATCGTGATGTATAATTGGAATGGCTGAATTGCTATTATTCTGCAGCTACAGAGAACTGTATTGGAGTTGGAGAAGACGAAGGAGGAGTTAAAAAATACCGAAAAAGATCTGAGGAATGCAGACAAGGAGATCAGGGTGAGACCTTCACTTCTAAGCCTTCAAGATTTGGTAGCAGTCCATGGTCTAGAGCAGCAGAGCCAGGACTTTGGGCCACCTGCTAGCTAGGTACTAGCTTACAGGCCATCCTGCTCATCCCTCATAGAATCATAGACGATTATGGTTGAAAGGGACCTCAGGAGGTCATCTAGTCCAACCCCCTGCTTAAAGCAGGATCATCCCCAACTAGATCATCCCATACAAGGCTTTGTCTACCTGGGTCTTTAAAACCTCTAAGGATAGAGATTCAACAGCCTCTGTGTGTAGCCTGTTCCACTGTTTTACTACCCGCATAATGAGAGAGCTTTTCCTAATATCTAACCTAAGTTTCCCTTGCTGCAATTTGAGACCATTGTTCCTTGTTCTGTTCTCTGCCATCACTGGGAACAGTCTAGCGCCTCCTTTCTGTAGCTATCTTTCAAGTAGGGTATTCTCACATGTTCTCATCTCTTGACTCTATCTCTCTCTGTTTCAGCTTGTGTTTTCTCCTGAGAAAGGGGAAGTAGGGTGCAAACTTCATCTCTGTTATAAGGTTACCATTTGTCTTATTGGTTCTGTGTTGTTTTTTTCCTCTCTGAAGAGTTTGAAGAAGAAGATTGAAATCCTGCAGGAGACCCTGAAGGTGCCATCTGTAGCCAACGAGACACTCAGCCGACTAGTGTTGGAAAGGTTAGAGAAGTGTATGAGAATCAGTGTGGTGTGTAGTGCTGTTACTGCTCTGCAGGCAAGGATGAGGATGAGATTCAAGCTCCTAAGAATGTACAGTCTAATGGACAATGGGGAAAATAAAGGGTAGGAAGCAGCAGAAAGCCTGTAGCAAATGGTGAAGCGTGGCAGACACCACGGTAGCTTAACCTTTCTGGTTTGTGTATCATGCTCTCTTTCCTCCCTTCTCATTGATGATGGTTTGATATGAAAACGGGTTCTGCTCACCTTTGCCTTGCTATCTAGAGCTGATATTCTTGGTGCATCATGGAAAGTTGCTGGGTAAAAGCTAGGCCTAGTGGGAGCTCTCAGCTGGCTGGATTTAGCATGATGCAGTGATGCTGGGGGGGAAAAAGGGCTTAAGCACCTTCCACTCAAGAAATCAGTGTACTGTGCAAACACTAACCTCAGAACCCTGGATAGCAAGATGGGTGGTTTAGATTGAGGAGCAACATGCTAGGCCTCTTCCAGTCTTGTGGTCAAGTCAGCTCAGGAAGGGGTTTTCTGTGTTTGGGAAGTCCCTAGGGTGTTGTGGTTGTTACTGGAAGTCGATACCAACATCTATTTAACCAGAGTGCTTTATACTGGAAGGGGGCAAGAGCTTATGAATGTGTGGATCTGTGCAGCAGTGAATACTGGCTTGCCGGTGTTTTCTTTCTGAGCTTGTACAGCACCCTGTACAATGAAACTCTCCTCTTGCCTGGGGTTTTCTGGCACCAGTACAAGTCTGTTTTTATCATTGCTATTAATAAGTATATATCTTGAGATACTGAGTTGTCTTCACTGTCTACCAGACAGTACGTAACATTGTGCCTGTTACTAATGTATCTTTGAAATGCTGTTGTAGCCCTGCTCCTGTGAAATTGCTGAAACCCAAACTCCACCATCCTGCCTGCAGTGATGAGATTGATCTGGATGCCACATTTGATGTAGAGACACCTGACCACCAGCCTCACAAATCTACCACCACCCCTGCGAAAAGACTTAAGCTAGATAAAAAGCAGTGAGTTTTTTCCCTTCCTCTGGCCATAGATGGGATAAATGTTTGCATCCCTATGACCCTCCCACATCTGCCTGAGCACTGGGCTGATCTCCAGCTGTTTTAAGTCATTGCATTAAGGGACATTTAGACCTTGATTATTTGACCTTTCATGTAGCATCAGCTCTGTTCTTGCTGACTTGTGGCTGCAGTGCTTCCCTGCAGCAATGAAATGAGGATAGAGGTCTGCTGACTCACTGATCTGGTTTCTTACAGGCCTCCTATGGTGAACCTTGCCAAAAAAATTCTGAAGGAAGCAGCAGAGGTAAAATAGCCAATTATTGAACTCCATTCTGTTGCTTCTTATTCTCCTGATCTTCCTACTTTTAATAGGCTTAAGAAATTGGCATCCCATTCCCCCAGGAAATCGATCATCTGACAACTGACCCACTTTGATCAGATCTTAGTATTGTGATGTGTGCTCCAAGGTGTGTTGGTTGGACTTGTACAGGGGCTCATTTGCCATTGTCCATGTGTCAGGGACTTTCTGGCCTTCGTGGGTGCCTGTTGACTATTTGTTCTGCAGAGTTTTGGGACACTGCAGTGTAAGCACCAAGCCAATGTTATTAGTATAACCCAGGGGTTGGCAAAATATGGCCCATGGGCCGAATCTGGCCAATCAGGTGATTTTTCATCTAGCCTGTGGGTGCCCACCAGTTGATTGTATCCTGCTCAGCCCTCATACTTTGCTCCCACCTTCATGTGTGGGAGGGCCCCAGCCCTGGCCAGCACACAGCTTCCAGGCGGGGCCACAGCTGCAGCTGCCAGAGGACATATGTTCAGCTTCCCTGGCCACTGTCTTACTCAGTGTTACCTGTCTAAACAAAATTCAGCAAGTAAATCTGGTCATTCAATCTTTTCTCTTTTTAATGGAACAGATCAAGAAAGACGACCCAGATGATGACCTTCTGAAAGGACTTCTGCCAGCATTTATTAGGAACTCTGTTCTTTCCAGGAAGCCATCTGGTAGCAGCTCATTGGGGTTGCACAAAAACATAGGCACCGTGAGTATGAACTGCCCTCCCCAAATCCTCCAGCAATTTGACTTCTTTAAGAGTTAGCACAATTTATTCTTGTCCCAGTGAGGGACAAGGAATGAAATAAGCTTTACCCTGCCACCTTTCTCTGTTCTGGAAACCCGTTTCCCCTCTGGCACTGTCCATCCTTTGCTACGAAGCTAGTCATACACATTCAGTAAGATTGTTTCCACCCTTACTCCATGGAGCTTTGGGTATCTTCCTCCATATCTCAGTGATTGGGCTTGACTCCAGATATTGAGGTCTTAGTAGACAAGCTTCCCTTGTGTAAGGTAGATCAGCTTCCTTCAGGAGATTATCAAGACTTTTAATAGGGCCTAGTGACTTTGGGCATTTAATTGGAGACTTGTCTTGCAGAGGTCTGTTTTTGTTTTGTTTTTAAAGTGAATGATCAGCTGTTCCTCTAAATCTGGCTCCATTGATGTCACCCAAAGTCACAAACCCATTTTGCCTCAAAGCATTCTGCATGTGGGCTTTGGGTTGGCAGTAAAGATTTCTTCCTTTTTCCTCTAGGTGAGAATGGGGTACGATGGCTTAGGAGGCAGAACAAAGTTTATACAGCCTGTATCCTTTCACCAATATGAAGTTAACAGTGGACTGAAGAAAAACAGGTTCTCTCTCAATCTGGTGTGGCTAGGTTTAGGTTGAGCAATTCAGTTCTCCATATAGACAAGGAGGCTGGAAACTGTTAAGAGGAAACATGTTTGTTTTGACTTTGTTAAAAGTTTTTTGTTCAGAGGAGACCTACCATATTTATCTGAATCCAAGATGAGCCGCCACTCCCCAGCATTCAACATGATGGGACAGGAGGCCCCCTGTCTTTTGATTTGATTAAAGGCAGAGGAGGGGTTGGCAGCTGCTGCAGTGCCAACTCCATGCCTAAACCCAAGTTAGGGCCAGAGTCAGCTGCCTGCCCGCCCCCTGTAGTCTCTGCCCCCTCTTTTTCCTACCCCCAGCCACCACACCACCACCCACTGTCCTGCACAGCTCTGGCTCCATTCCCTTACAGGGATCAGAGTACAAGGAAGCTCTGGCTCCCAGCCTGGTCACACAACATTTTCCTGGGACACCAGAGCTGCTCCTACCACTGCTTATGTAGCTGTGCTGCAGCCAGAGCTTCCATGTACTCTGTGCTCTGGGAGGGAGAGGATCCAGAGCAGTGCCTGATAGTAAGTAGGGTAGGAACAGAGGCTGTGGCAAGCAGGCAGGAGGGGCACCACCATGTAAGGTGGCAGGTGGCAAGGGGTGAAGGCACGAGCTGGGGGTAGGGGGGACAAATGGTTGGGAAATGTGGTTGCTTGCCTCCCAGCCACGTCTCCCTGCTGCTGCTTTCCTTGCTTAGCAGTTGTGGGGAGCGGGGAAGTGAATTTAAGATGACCTTCCAATAATAAGATTCTATACATGGAAAATTGTAACAGACTTATAATTTTTTTATATACAAAATGTAATTATTGGGGGGTTGTCTGAAATTCAGGTCTGTCTTGGATTCAGGTAGATATAGCATTTCAGCAAATCCTGTTTTCTGTGCACCGGGTTAAACCAAATTTCAAAATATGGCCTAGTTGGGAGAGCAGAACACTGCATCAAACGCATCAATATATCTGGTTGAAACTGTTGTAGTGTTATCTCTTGCTGCCGTTCCTTGGGTGGGACAGCAGATCAATTTGTATGATAGGTGCTTGTGTGGAAGACTAGCGGCTCAGACGCACAGCTGTTGAAGGGCTTATGGCTTCTTGGACCCAGGGCCTAATGCTTTTTTTGTTTTTCAATTTATTTTGAGAGGGAAATCATGCCATCCAAAAGGGATGGGGAATTGGAAACAGGATAGCTATCTGATTGCTACATAGCAGTGATTGGCAGGTAACCTTTGGACCATCATTCAGGTAACCTTAATGCCTTTTAAAGAATAGTCTGTATATGTATTCTGCTGTTAATATATACATGGGCAGTATACCTAAGCTGTAGAGCTTTTTAGTCAGCAGTTACCATAGAGGGGGAATAGAAACTTTACATCTGTGTGCTGGTAGTGACTAGAGCTACTTGGCCACACCAGTTTTTTTCTCACTGCCCCTGGTTACAGTGGGAGCTTGCTGCTCTGAGCTATTGCTTATATTGTCTGTAAATAGTCTGCTAATATGGTGGCTAGTTCAGTTGGCATAGTAGTGAGGTGATACTAGCTACCTCCCTATATTTTATTTTCTTTTGGTACCAAGATTAGAATGCATCTGAGACTGAAGTTTAAATGTTGCCTATGTTTCAATGTTGCCCTGCCCCTGCATTACTGGCATACAAGATGGGGCAAGCAAAATGTTCCTTTTCTTTGGTAAGGACTACAGCTTGGATCCTCAGTCCTGGGCCAGCTGAGTCTGGGCCCCTTGCCAGCCAGGGCTGCTCTGACCTGGCTCAACATGTTGTGGTCCCAGGCACACATTCAAATGGCATGCCCGAGAGCAATAAACTCCAGCACAGTATGCGCCAGAGTTTATTGCTGTGTGCTAATAGCACATGTAGATGCTCCCATTGAGTGCTTCCTCATTTTGATGCACCATTGACCTCGGCAGGCCTCAAGGTCATGCAGTCAAACCAGGAGTTGAGAGATGTCTTCTTAGCAGCCTCATGCTTCTGAGACACCTGCCCTTAGCTCTCACTGACAGTGCCCTGCCATGTACATCAGCTGGCATCACAAAAACAGCTGCAAGTGCTGATTTTTTTGACTACCTGTGGTTTTCTGAGCAAGGAAACCTGGATCAGACTCAGGGTGCAGAGGTAGCTCCAAGAGAAAAGTCCTCACTCTTAGACTTCATGAGGCATTGAATCCTTTTAGGAAAAGATCTATAAATACGCTCAGGAATCAAGCATGACCTTAACCAAAGCACACTAATGTATTAGACGTCCATCATCCATCAGTGTGATAGATTAAATTATCCATCTTGCAGTGTTGCCACGGTCATGCATTCTGGCATCCAGTATAGAAATTAAATTAAAACATCCCAGTTAGAAACCAGCCAGCATATCCTTAAAAGTGTGCTAATTCTGCTGGAGATGCTGTTTACAAACAATAAAAGCAAAGTCTCTTCAGGCATATGCCATCCTTCTGGCCATGGGCAATGGTGAAGGCACTGAGGTGTAGTCAGACAGTTCTGTGCTTTCTTTCTACCCTCAACTAGAAGCCCGTAATGTGGAGATGCATGTGGGCACTGCTGACTAAAACGCTCTCTAGCTCAAGCATGCTGGACAGGCAGCCACCAGCAGAAGCGTAAATAGGCTGGCTACTCATCTCACAGAATGCTGGCTATTGTAAGGTGAGTCGCCTCTTCCACTCTGAGTGTTCAGAACCCTGCACACTTTCAGTTACCTGGCACTTATGATAAATTTCCCCTTTCTACAGCCAGATCATCAGACTCATTTTCCTTGATAGTTTTATCCCCTCAGACAAACCCAACAGAGATCCGTCCATTACCTGGAAAGAACAGGAAAAGGAATGCCTCCAGGCCAGCATACGTGATTGCAGCTGCTTCGTCCTCTGGCTCTAACCAGGCCAAGTTGGACAGCTTCCTTCAGTAAACCTCAACAACTCATATGGATACTCCTGCATGAGTAGCCAGAAGCCTCTGGGCTCAGAAACCTCCAAAGAACCACAGTACCACAGCAGATGCATGGTGCCATTCAGAGCCCTTTGCAAGGGGATACAGCAATTTCTTGGTTTGCAGTTCATTCTAGAAAACCCAGGCTGAAGCAGAATGCTGAGGCAGGACCTACTCTGAGCTGCCAGCCTTTCTGGGCAAAGGAGAGTACTGACATGAAGCAGTCAATCTCAAGATGAAAGAAGTTTAATGTGAAAGGTCATCTGCTGTTGCTCAAGCACTGGGGGGGTTTCTGGGTGGGAGAGAGGTGCACACAGCCCATGACTCCCTTTTTGGTTTGTTTCATCCAGTTCTATCTACTAAGAAATCCAGTAACTGCTTGGGATAGAGCAGATATAGAGAAGGCTAAGAGTGTAGGTGGAACATCAGAGTCAATGTCCTGACACCCAGTCCCCCACCACAGACTGATCTTAGTGTGGAAAACAGCCCTGCAGCTGAGCGTTTCTGGTGTACCCTTCAAACCTGCCCTTTTCTTCCTGCAAATTGATGCATAAAGAGATTTCTGAGATTCTTTGCTCTCTGAGTATTGGTCCTTGCAGGTATGATCAAGAAGCAAAAGACGCGTGTTGAGGAGTCTGTGATTCAATCCCTATAATTCCACTGGCTCCATGGGCAGCTGCTTCTCATGCTATAGTGGCAGGAGAAGCAGATGGTGGTGATGTTTTCTGTTGTAGATTGCCTTCCTCCAGCATCCATTGTCTGTTGATTGGTTGAGCTTTTGTCTTCCATAGCTCTGTTTCTCCCAACGCATACTAAACAAAGAACTTGCTCTTGGTCTTCTCCAAGGCTTTACTCACAGCAACACCAAGCTTCTGGAGGTGATGGTACTCCAGCTGTGTTTCGGAACCAGCTTGAGCCTAAAGGTGGTAGTATAGCATCCAAGATCTGTTAAACAGAAACATCCTCGACAGCACTTTAGGGGCAGCTCCCTGTGCTGGAGGGAGGAGAGAAGGATCTACATTTCAATCCCAGTTGTCCCACGTACTGGGGTAGCTTAGCAAGCCTTTTCCAACACAGAGACATGGGCTGGATCCAGGCTTCATGTAAACTCCATTGAAAGAAAGGGATTTGCATGGATTAGGCCTTTTATTTTTGGTTTTCAGTGAGATGAGAGTAGATGCCTGTAATCCCAGGTTCCTTATTTTAAGCAGTGGAGATGCTTCTGCCAGATAGTTGCACTTGTCTTCTCTCTTCCATCGTGACTAGGGACCTAACCTAATAGGAGACTTGTTTATGCCCAAGTAGTTCCACAAGGTTGGAGTCTGACAGGCCACCCATGTGTTACCATCTCCATCTCGTTCTGTTGGGTGCTTGGGTCCTGGTGTCCACCCAAAGAACAAAGCAGTACCTGATCTACAGGCTTGAAAGTGGCTGAGGGATTGCTGCCTGACTATGTATCTTCTTTTCTTCAGATTGCTACCAAACATGCACCAGCAGTTTTGATTAAGGGGTGTTCTGTAATGAGCCTGTGTAGAGTAGGGGGAGCCTTGTGGGGGTGCTTTTATTGGGACTCAGACGTTCACAGGGTAGCACATGGATAATTCCAGTCTTGGGAGGCATTCATTTTCCTAAATAGAGAGAACTTCAAGTCCCTCCCAGGCTCTTACTGAGCTGGAGGCTAGTGTGAATTTTAAAGGACTCTTGTCTAACTTTGGTTTGAAACTTGAACTTTTTTGTAGTTTTTAATTGTTATTAGCTCTCCCTGCCCTTCAGACTGGCTCTCTTCAGACAAAAATGCAGGTGTTCAGTGAAAAAAAATAAAAAGAAAACTTATTTCTGTCTATCCTGAGAAGGTATTAGACAGCTGCTGACTGTTAGTGAGGTCTTTCTACCCTGCCTCTTTGGCAGTAAACTGTCTGAGCTATCAGGTTTCCTAACTAGCCCTGGGACAAAATTTAAGGCTCTATTCTTGGGTTTGACTCGGATACAATGGAGTCATTTCTAAATACTGTACATAATAAATTGGTACGGGGCTGGCCGGACAGATGGAACATGCTTATATGGAAACAAGAATGTTTGTTTAATTTGTGTCACCAGATAGACCAAATTTAACAGTAGCTCCCTGTAGCAATATCTGTTTATAGATGGTACATAATGGACACCTCTGTTTGAGGCTTTCTGAGAACTTTGTGAAATAAATGTGTTAAAATACCTATTTGTTTCGCTGTTTAACTGAAGTGACTGCTTTTGATGCATCTTCTCAGAGAAGGGTTCACACCCTTTAACTACAATACAGGTGTTGGGAAACTAGCTCAAGTGGTGTCAGAAAGGAGTTACTACATTTGGAAGTGCACACAATACTTTTACCTTCCTCTGAGGCATCTGGGGCTATTTAGAAATAGGACCCTGCACTGGGTGGGCTACTGGTTTGATCCCACCTAGCAATTCCTTCCTGTGCTGTTTGTGGTGTACAGAGAGGGGGGCGGATGAGGGAAAATACCAGGAAACGAAGTGTTTCTGTAGCACATACTGTAAGAATTAGCATGCTCTGTTGCTTAGAATTAATCTCCAGTCTTCGGAGGGAAACTGAGAAGTGGAGAAGGTAAAATGACACATTAAGGATATGTGATGTTGTCCATGGTATCCATGCTGGAAAGCTATGGAGATTGCTTTATAGCATGTATGGAAGATAAAAAGTAATGACCTCCCCTCTGTCTCTTTGGCTCTAATTAACACTAGTGATGGAGCTTGGTGTCTAAGGTTTTTCATTATCTGCCCCTCTAGACTGCTGCTGCCCTTAGTCGGTTTCCTTGCCTGTGAGGATGGTGCTGGCTTCCTGTATCTCTGTCTCATTCACAGGCCTGGAAAAGTAGGTGAGTACAGGGATCTTAAGGGTTCTGTTTGCTGAAGAACCCATGTTTTCCTGTGACATACCAAAAGTGCAGTGAGCAGCACCATTTCTGCTTCCCCCTGCCCTGCTTCCCCTCCATGCAGAAATGGCACCACTTGCTGTGGGACACTTGCATTTTTGGTAGGTCACAGAAAACATAGATTTCTATGGGTTTTACATAGAGATTGTCCACTTTTTTTTTCCTGTGGAAAAACTAGGATCCCTGGTGATAGGTTTGGTCCTCTGAGAGGGCAAAGCTGGAAGAATGAGGCTGGAATAGGTGTTGATCACTGAGGAGTGAGAAAAGCAGGAAATAGCCTTGGCTGCTGGTTCCTTATTCCCATCTCAGGATTCATGTTGCTACTGGTTTCCAGATCACTGAGCCTCCTCACCTGCATTAGCCACATGCATTTGGCAGGTACAGTCATTTGATTAGCCTTAAGATCTGTTCTTCAAGCAAAGCTAACAAGGATGGTTTGTGGCAGCTGGTGTAGCATCTTCCTGCATAACATGGGGCACATCTACACAAGACACTAACTGCACAGCAGCCAAATAATACTGCATAGTAGCATGTCACAGTACCAACAGTGCTAATATGCTTCTGTGCAGTATTATTAGACTACTACACAGTATCGTCACTAAAAGGTGTTCACCGGCACTACTGAACAGGAACTCTGGTTACTGTGCATCTATTTAGTACTTGTATAATCAAGTACTGAATAAATGTGCAGTTACCACTGCACAGTAGTGTCTTGTGTAGATGTGCCCATGGACTAGAGATTGTTACCCAGGACTTTCTGCACCAAGTCCAGGTCTTGCATTTTCAAAAGCCCATCCACTCTGGAGGTAAGCATCAAAAGGGATGATGGAATACCCTGTGGTGCGATTAGTAGGGGCGCTACTATGAGCCACCCACCTCACTGTGCCTGACCAAAACCCCACTTCATGTGTTTCTTTTGGGGCGCCTACCTCCAGCTGACCCCCTTCCTGGAGCACACCCACAAGCCTGGGGTAATCGCCGCTACCCCCCGGGCTCTGGTCTCTGTTAGGCCTCTGTGCAGGTACACACCCCCTGCAGACCTTGGGGGTGCTTTGCCCTCTGGTAGTAATTCTGGGTGCTCCTTATAGCCTGGAGCCACCCAGGAAGTTTTCAGGTAAGGATGAATCGGATAATCAGCCACGGTCTGCTAGGAGCAAAAAGGCCTGTTGTTTTCCCCCATCCTGCCTCAAGCATTTACAGCTAGACGTGTTGTAACATAGCTTTTATTAACCAGGGAAGGGAAAAATGGGAGAGGGGTAGAAGACAGAGGAGTATTAAAGAAAATGCCTTGAGCAAAACAGAATGGACTTGTTGGCCTTTTAACATGTGGCTAAAGATGCATAACCCTAATTTACTGGCTAAGTTTTAGGTAAGCTACTTAAATATACATCCAGAGAATTCTGGAGGCCCATGCTTCGGTGTGTGTTTCCAGAACGCCTGCTGGAGGAAGTCCCCGCAGACCAGGTGACCTGACCCCTAAATAACTTTTCTGACCTCATCACCTGGTTCCAACCAGAATCAAGCATCGTCTGAACACTGCTTATGTAGCCCAGTCCTTTTAGAACTCATCAGCAACCCGTGGTGGAGTGACCAGTGTCACAAAACTGATCTCACAGGTTTCTTGGTGGGAGCCTTAACACAAAGGATCTGGACACAGTAAGTGGGGGAGGAAGCAAAGCATACAGCCCAAACAAGACACACAGCAAAACAGGGACAGACAGAAGCCATTTCTTCACCTCCCCCACCCCCACACCCCTTTGCTTTCAAAAGCCAGTGCCCATTGCTTTACAGAACTGTAGGCACTGGCATTTCTTGTTCAGGGAGGTTACCTTCATTACCTAAAAAGAAAAAAACAAGTAGCAACACGTAAGGCTAACTATAACAACAGAAAAGGTTGAGGTGTCCAAGTGTCAGAGCGCTTTGGGGTGGTTCTGCATTTTCCAGCCTATTACCCTGAGTCGTGTCTGGACAGCAAGTCTGCTACCACATTCTGGCTTCCCTTGACGTGTTCCATTGTCATGTTGCACTCCTGAAGCTGCCATGCCCATCTTTGCAGCTTGGTGTTGGTGTTCTGTATTGTCTGTAGCCATTGAAGTGGGGCATGGTCTGATAGGACTGTGAACTGCTGTCACCTCAAATAGGGCCTCCGCTTGTTCAGCACCGAGATGATTGCCTAACACTCCTGTATAGGCAACAGGTTCCACTCATGGGAAACCAACTTCTGGCTTAAGTATGCCATGGGGTGTCATGTCCCTTTGTGCTCCTAAAGGAGTACAGCTTCAAATCCAGTGTCCGAGGCATCAGTGGCCACACAGAAGGGCATTTCAAAATCCAGTGCCCTTGAAATTGGCTGTTTAATCAGGGCAGCCTTCAAGGTATCCCAGCTTCCAGACTACCTAAGCAGGGTTGTCTTTTTTGTCAGCTTGTGCAGGGGAGTGGCAGTTGCCCCAAAGTTGGGGGCAAAACTTCTGTAGTACCTGGCCAGACCAAGGAAGGCTCTGACATGCTTCTTAGTTTGTGGGGGTGGCCAGTCTCTAATGGCCTTGATTTTATCCCACATCAGAGTGATTGTGTCCCCCTGTCCCGTTTCCCCCCCCCCACACACACACACACAGTGTCCCAAATACACCACTTTGGGTAATGCCAACTGGCACTTCTTGGCTTTCACTGTAAATCCAGCTTGTTTGATCCTATCTAATACAGTGGTTAAATGAATCTCGCGTGGTTCAAAGTCCTGACTGAAGTTGGCAATGTCATCAACGTAGGCCACTGCAAACTGCTCGACTCCTTGTAGTAAGTTCTTATCAATCTCTGAAAAGAGGCAGAAGAATTGTGCATACCAAAAGGTAGGACTGTAAACTTGTACAGTCCCAAAGGCATGGTAAAGGCAGACGTATTTATGGCATCTGGATCCAGTGCCATCTGCCATTTGAATAGACCGAGAGTAGAGAGAAACTTGGCTTGGCCCAGGGTGTCAAGTTGAGAGTCCATCCTGGGCATAGGGTAAGCGTTGGGGGTAGTAATTGCGTTCAACTTCCTGTAGTCCACACAGCACCTGACGGTCCTATCCTGCTTCGGGACAAGTACCCCAGGTATGGCCAAGGGACTCATCAAAGGCCATATTACCCCTAGCTCTAGCATGTCATCAAGCTCGTGTTTTATCTCCTCCAGCACCTTCCCATTGACTGCGTAGGTAGGGCATTGAACAGATAGGGCAATGGCTGCCCATATCTATAGTGTGTACAGCCAGGTCTATTCTACCTGGTCTGTTTGAGAACACAGTTGCTGCCTGAACGTAAGTGGTACCATGAGCTGGCAATAGGGCTCCCAGGACTTGGCATGGTTTTTAGGCACCCAGAGGCGATAAAGGAGTCCCTTATCCCAGACCACCTGTTCCCTCTTATCTGGGTTGAACTCTGTTTTTTGCTCCTAAGTCACCAGTTGGAGTTCCTCCAAGCTGGGGTATACTAGCACCTGCTTAAACTCTTCCTGCCCTGCTGTGCGATTAGAGGGGAGTTCCTGTGCTTCCGTAAGGCGTGCACCTGCCTCCACGGGGATGGTCTCTAACTCCTCGCCAAGAGCCACTCACTGACTGGGCTCCCCCTGGGGGCTGTCGCTTAGCTTGTCCCAGGGTCATTGATCCCATCAGCAGCCGATTGGCTGCCACAGTCAGGGGGATTCCCATCCTTTTTTCCCTCTGCCTCTACAGCCAACTGGGTTACCTGGCTCTGGGAGGTTTTTCCACCTCCTGCCTTCACCCTCTTGCTTTGTCGGTGAGTCACCACATTAACACAGAGGGGTTCTATGATGTTTCACCATGCTGCTCTCGTATGCTCCACCCCTATAATATCCCTCCCCACCAGCATGGGGGCAGGAGCAGACTGCATCACTCCTATCTCCACTTCCACTCCCCAGTCTCTCCCCTTGCTGGGGAGATGTGCTACCTGTACCTCGAATGGCTGGTGCCCCCACCCTTTCGATAGTCAGGGTCTCTCCAAGTAATATATCTGAGGGTGAAACAAGGTTGGCATCAATGACACACTGGCCACTGAGTCCACTTCCCCAATGATGGTTCTCCCCTTTACTTTTATCTCTTCCCTGTGGGAGGTCATCATCTCCTCTGGGTTTGTAATCCTGTAGAAACAGGTACACAGACGCACTGCCTGCTGCTGCCACAGGAGCCAGTTGGGGGGGCAGGCATGTGGCAGCCCCCGCTCCCCTCCATAAAGCATGCGGCAGAACCCAACCCAACCCAGCCTGGCACAGCCCGCTAGCCTGGCTTTGCAC